TATCACCAAGCCCGTGGTGCAATGGCTTGTGATATTTTATTCCGAACACAAATAACTTTACACATTATTCCATTCGCGATTTTGTGCTTTTAATGTACTTCAATTTTAAGCAATTCACAAATAATTTTACAAAGTATATACAGTGGTATTTGAAATAATCTCAATGTCTCAATCTTGCGTGTTGTCTCGGCAACGACTCTTCGGCAACTCCCCGTTCGGCTAGCCAAGCGGGTTGACCAGCGTTTTAGGAAGACGACGCAGGGTTGCAAGTATTCGCACTTGACAATATGTAGTTTAGAAATAAAGCCTTTTCAAGACTTTCATATATATTGTAATAACTCGTTTAACTCATAATATAATTGTACTTGAATTTAGTTTTAAAACAGGTTGTAATCCTCTTCAAATAGCTCAGAAGACTCTACATGTTCAAGCTGAACATTTCTAAATACTCTTACGTTTGACACATTAATTTGAGTAAAATTAATTTAAATTCGACTTATAAAACAGGTGGCAGCCCTCTCCAAAATATTTTCCAACTGAAATCTTATTAAACCTTTTGGTCTGACACCCATATTGTGATACATATTCCAATATTGACACCCGTATTGCAGTAACTAACTTAAATTTATTTGCTATTTTTATTCGGGTGGCAACTCTAGTAAAACACCTCAATAATATTCCAAATGTTCAATCTGAAGGTTTCTTAACAATCTTTGGTTTGAAACCCATATTATAATTTTTCAGATAGTTTGCGTATAATTAATTTAAATGTGACCTTCCAAATTATATTTTTAATCTACAACCTTTTTAAGCCTCATGACATCCATTTTTTAATATAATTTTCAAATAAATAATTCCCTTACTTCAAGTTGAATCTGATGTTTTAAACAGGTGGCAACCCTCCTCCATGTGTGTGGAATTGATTTTGTATATATAAATACCAAGTTCCAGTACTCGTATCACAAATATTTCCTGCGATATGCAGTATGAAAAATTTAGTTTGTATGTGAGGTGCCTCGCCCCCTTTACAATCGAAATTCAATCTATGCTATAATTTAAGTTGGGCTAAATGACATCAGTGTACAAAATCTCATGATGATCGGTTGACTAGTTAAAGCGTGAAAGCGTAACAAATAAACAAACTCGCTTTCGGATTTATAATATTAGTACGGATAAGGATTACTTGTTTTACCTATATTCTGACTATTTATTTATACACATAAACTAAAAAGTATGCTCTTACATTTCGTTTCAGTAAGCTATTATATACATTTTCGTAATGAAGTTGACCAAGCACCAGCTGAAGATAATTCCAATCATTCAACGGAAATACAACGTGTCTATCGCATTTCTGAAGTCTAATTTGGCCAACATTGAAAAATTTCTTTGGTATGCTTTGAGCCCCCGATTGGTCATCAAGCGCATTGCTATTCGAAAATGCAATAAACCTCGTGTCATATTAAATTATTACCATTTGAGGAGGGTGTTGTTTGATCAAGCGGAACGCAAAGTAATCAAAACCCGTAGGCGGAATGTTCAGCAGTGGTCTCGGCAGATGGTTTGCTACTTGCGTAAAAAATACGGCACTAAGGAGCACATTGAAATAACATCGCTGGGCGATAATTTAGATGTTATAGATACTTCTAAGAAATTAACTCCCAGAGGTGGAAACATGGCCCCTGAGGAAGTAAGCAAACAACTAAAAGAGCAGCTAGAACTACTTCGCAGTGGAAAACGCATAGTGCCACTCATGGAAAGGGAAAATAAATCAGCTGAAAATGAGATCATCGACACAGATTCTACACAGAAAGCGAGGGGTAATCTATTAGAGGAAAATCCCAACTTCACTCCAAGTGCAGCAAAATGTAGCACTAAACATACCAGAGAAGATGTGATCAATGAATGTAGTCATACTACAACTGAAGTATTAAATAAGACTGAGGGCGTTGTCCAAAGCACTTTGGAGACAACACCGGAAAAACAAATAATAGGGAGGGTCGATACTCGATTAGAGCAACCAAAGCATAGCTATAAGGCAGATAGAAATATTGATGTTGACGGTGAGACTGTTGAACTATCTCCAACTGATGGTACAAAAGCGGCATCTCGACCCGAAATATATCAGCACTGTTCGGATAAATCAACGTCAAAACCGTTAAGCAGCAATAGTAATTTTTTGGATATGCTCATGAATAAGGTGCGTGGGAAAAGGACCTTAAACGACACTTCCACTGACTCTACTACACCTCCGTCTAGATATCCAGGTAGCAGATCTCCAGAACGTAGTTTTGATAAAAGTCTTGAAAACAACGACCATTTCACAGATTCAGGCGAAGAGTTCTTCGGCTTCGATGAAACAGAGCGCTTGCCCGGGATGATGCTAACCCCCGTTGTACCATTTTCAGCCCAGTCCAAAGGTAACGCAAATGCCGCCTTTGTCAGTGAATCGCTTAATGAGTTCATGCGTGAGAACTTGCTAGAAAGTAGCAACTGTGTGGCCGATAGCATTGAAAACGCAGCAGGACGAAAGCATCGGCAGGCCACACTGGATGGATTGGTTACTCCCGATTGTATTCCTCCCCGTATAGACATGCCCCTTGTGCCGGAGAGTTTGCAAAAACTAAGGACGGTCGCAGAGCGACGTCAATATCTGCAGAAATTCAACCGAAATCATAAGCTATCTATCATCAATAATGAAGCGGCCATTTGTCGTGAGTTGCAAAGAAAAATGAGACACCAAAAATCAAAGAGCGTGTCACAGCAGTTGTTGCAAGCCCCAAACTCGCAAATGCCATTCACTCGGCAGGGTTGGCAAGCGGCTTCCTTCGTTACCACAGAATTCAATCATTACTATTATCAAACCTTAGATGTGAGTGATGGTCAGGAGAGAGAGCGTGTGCGACTTCCAGGTGTGCGCGGTAATAATGAAGAACGCGACAAGCAATCTTACCATAGTCGGGTGCCGAGCAATGTTTTAACACGAGAATGTAAAAGAAATAATTGTAGCGATGCTTTAGTGTGGCGCGACTTGAAACCGCTAAAAACGGAGCCCGACAAGAAGAAGCTTAATAAGTCACCACTGCCAAGTGTATTCAAGCCTTGCCCACTATCACACAAGCCTTTTCAAAAACCATTAGATGATGAGACAACGCCCCTATTGTTAGGTGGCGGTAGCATGGCGGTGGTGCGTATGCCGGTTGTAGAATTGGAAGTTTTTCCAGCACTCGGCAAGCCGTTGCACGAAGTAGCTAGACGCTACCTGGAGTACATACTTCCGAACTGCGACATAACGCGCGAGTGGGCCGAGTTTAGTGTGTCTACATTACAACAATCTGCAGATTACAATCAAAAGGAAACCCCCTCGAATCAGACAAATGATAAGATAATTCTCTCCAACGGCCCGCCGGAATCTTTTTCGTTTCCCATTCCATACCAAAACGATCGCAGTCATATTTTGGTGCGTCGTGTAGTTGATCGTTCAGAAAAACTTGATGAGACATTCGAGACAGCCGCATCGTGTGTAGAAGACTTCACTTTTCGTACGAATATTGACGAACGTGATAATGTTTTAGTAGAGTGTGCAGACGTGCTCAGCGAAATGATAAACTGTGTTGCCATAAGTTGCAGTGAGAACTCTTTCATAAAGATAGATCCAGATGGATTGCAAGTAGACAACGCAGAGGAAGATATTAAGTACGATAAGACAGTTGATAAGTGGTCTCCTAAAGATGATAAAATTGCTAACAACAAAATGGCGACCGACGATTCCAAACAGGGCAATCAAGCAGCTGCGCATAAAAAACAAAATCGTCTTTTGTAAGTACATACTGAACATACACATGTATAACCATATAAGCTTAATAATTTAATATTATACAAAACTTACTTTTCCATAAAAAGTAAATAGTAGTGTTTAATGATTTATATAAGTTATTTTTCCTTAGTTTTGTTCATAAATCAAAACATAGTACTGCAATGTCTTTTATCTTGACTTTTATAAAAACTTGTTCCTGATATTAGAACCTATATATGTCTCAATAGACATCTCCGACACTAATGGAAATGCACTTGAATATTCTACTACGTACTTGATTTACTCTTAGGTTAACATTATTATCATTGATAACAGTTAATCTTGAAGGGAATTCTTAAAGCATAAACAGACGGCAGCGTTGATCCGGATCAGCTCGGGAATTAACTGCAGTTGATCCGGATTAAGTCCGAGTCAATGATGTGTTGAAAATAAGTCGACCTTCCAACTTTAACTGTTAAGGCGGACTTCCATAGCTGCGTATCCGTATGCGTGCGTTTGACATTTACGCTTAGAATTCAAAATGCATACAACTTTCTTACATTCTCATGCGTTGCTATGTAGGTTCTTCAACGAGAAATGGAAATGCCAAGTGAAGCCAAGTCCTTCTCCACCTGGTCTTTCCATCGCAGTGGAGGCCTCCCTCTTCCTCTGCTACCACCAGCGGGTTCCGAGTTGAATACTTTCAGAGCTGGAGCGTCGGTGTCCATTCGAACGACATGGCCAAGCCAGCGGATCCGCTGTATTTTAATTCGCTGCACTATGTCCATTTCGTTGCTATGTAGGTGCTGCCATAAAAATGTGTATTCAATTTTTCTGTCCCGCACGCATATGTACGTATACGCATGCTATGGAGATCCGCCGTTATTCCTTATAGACACAGAGTGACTTAAAGTGAAAAGCTAAGTCCACTTTTATGAAGTCGCTTTTCGCAACCCGATTCTATTTAGCGAAAACCAAATTTGGTGAAATTTTGAGAATTTGTCTACAATATTCACAATGTTTTTCATAATAAATCTCTTTCGATAATTTAAAAAAAAACTAAATTTCATTCTATAACTTAAACCAAATACATCAAATTTTCAAATTTCGTGCAGTATTCCCACACATTTTTTAAATTTAAAAAAGTGGTTTCAATACGAGCTTTCAGAAAAAATGCTGGGTATGCAGTTTTGTAGCCCATTGAATTTGTTGAGATTTTTTTTCGCCGATGCTGTCGAGTATTTTATTTACATTTACATTCCCACGACAGCCGGTTCTACGTACCGGAATGACTCGGGTTTTACTCGACCAAGGGCTGTTGTTTCGGCGATCTAACCCCGTTTAGGTCGGCGAAGTATCTCAGAAGTTGTACGTCCATAGGGCTACATTCGCTACGCTTTCTTCTGCTCAGGGCTGGCATCGAGTCAAACCCAGGACCAGAAACCTACACCTGCTGTGTATGCCAGAGACGACTACACCACAACTCCACCTCTGTCAAGAGCAATGCTTGCGAGGGGTGGAGTCACCTCAGAGTCTGCTCAGGACTACGGACACATCGGCAGTGGACCACGTCTTTTGTGGCCCCCTGTTGCTCTAACAGAGCAGCCTCCACGGCTAACCCCAGTCCGCCTGAGCAGTCCCACACAAACGAACAGCACAACAACATAACAACACAATAGACCACACCACAACCGCGACAGACCACAGAACACACACAACCGCACCACCACCCACACGCCGCCGCCAACAACTCTTGGTTCCTCGTACAATCTGCACGGTATGTCAGACCAGGATATTCCGTAATGTGACATCAGTCAAGTGCAACACCTGCCTTGGCTGGTGCCACTTTAGGGCATGTTCAGGTCTGCGCACCAGGCGAGATTGGAAGAAGAACTTCGAGGGCCCGTGTTACGCTGCTCGGTCGCAAACTCCAACTGCGACGCCACCCACCAGCACCACAGGGCGGCAACCACCTCAGCAGCGTACACTGCTAATGGCGTCATGGCCAGACACATCTCTCACACCTCGCATTACACACGTCTCCCGAACCACATGAAGCTCCTTCAATTTAACTGCAACGGGCTTCAGAGCAAGATCGAGGAGATAACCGTCTTTATGGGAAGGCATCGAATAGTAATAGCTGCGGTCCAAGAGACGAAGTTGCACAGCAATTCAACATTGTTGAATTGTGCGGGTAAAACGTGCACCGTCGAGATCGCGAGCGAGATAATGGTGCGTTCATCAAGCACCACACCGTGCAGTATCGTCTTATCGAAGCAGACATCACCGCAGGTATATCACCCTAGAATGTCAGGGAATTGCTATCCGGTCAGGCGATGTTGAGCTCGAAATATTCAACGTATACATACCTCCTGTCACCTGCTGCCCGGCAGGATATCACCCTGATATAGGTGCGCTCCTCAGAGGTGAAAACCGAATGGTAGTAGGTGACTTTAATACGCACCACGATCTTTGGCACTCAAGCCTGTCAAACGATCGTAGGGGAACCGATTTGACTGAGCAGATAGACGATTCGACATTCTGCACAATGAACGACGACGCACCCACCAGGATTATGGGCAGCTGCTGCAGCTCGCCAGACATAACAATAGTCAGCGCTGGTCTGATAAACAGCATATCATGGCGACCTATGCTGACTTTGGCATCAGACCATCTGCCCATAGTCATCTCGATCGATAAACCAACCGACTTTGCTTCCGCGGAGCACCGAACCTATATCAACTTCTCCGAAACTGATTGGAAAGGCATCGCGGAATTTACTGAAAACACCTTCGCTGCTCTCCCCACACCAACCGATGTCCACCTTGGTGAACGTAAGTTCCACAGGGCTGTCACCGCTGCTGCAGGTCGCTTCGTACCGGGAGGATGCATCACGGACCCACGTCCAAATTTCCCTGCCGAAGCGGCTGTTCTAGCCGATGAGCGTGACAGCCTTCGTCAAGTCGATCCCGGAGATCCCCGTATCAGGCATCTCAACGCGGAGATTCGGCAACTAGTGAACGTACATAAGCGGAAGAAGTGGGACGAGCATCTGAAGACCTGTAATTTCACCTCTGGTGTGAGCAAGCTTTGGTCAACCGTGAGGTCACTGTCTAATCCGACGAAGCACTACGACAGAGTCGAAATTTCCTTCGGCGACCAT